TTGAAAAACTTTGCCAAAGGGCACATTCCTGTTGTTTAACTTTAAATGCATGCTTTATTTACGTATTCATTTCATTGCCAGTTGAAGCATGCACTAGCCGGGAAGAAAATGCACCTTCCAATTGGGCATAATCACACCACAATCCCTTCTCCAGTAACTCTGTCCTGCTGGATTTGGGGCACACATACACATGTACCTGACATGATTTTTCAAGCCATAGGGCTAGAATTTGAACCCCATTCAGCCATGTGGGATCTGGCTCCCTCAACTACTAAGCTACTGAGCTGCATCTGCTTTTAATATAATCAACACTGTCGATCTTTTCCTTTATGGCAGTTTTTTTTTTTTTTTTTGAGAGGTCTTTGCTATAGGGCGCCTGCATTCTCCAGAAAGACAGAGATGGAGAGACAGAAAGCAAGAAATCACTCCCCAGCGGGGTAGCCACACCACAGTCCCTTCTTCTCCATTCTCTTGGGATCTTGGGCATGCACACACATGCACCTGGCATGCATTTAAGTCACCAGTCCGGGACTTGAACTACGGTCGACTACATGGAAGTCCAGCGATATAGCCATTACATCAACTGTTGGTCCCGAGTTTTGTCTATTTTAGAAAGACATGTCTACCACCAGTGTCATGAATATATCCTGCTAGTGGGTTATCAGAAAACTTGTACTTTTTTGTTTTTCTATACAAAAATGCATCATGACTTTTCTGACAGCCTAATATATTTTCTTCTAGTACTTTGTATTTAGTAATTTACATTTTCATTCACTTTTGTGAATAGTGTGCGGTAAAGATCCCACCCAATTTATATAGGAGGGAGTGGTTTAAGGAAGCTGTTGGCAGGGGCTACTAACATAACTTGCACATGGACAGGCATTTAACAGTTACCTTTCTCTTTCTTACCCTCTGTCTTTATACAAGCCTACTCCAAGCCTGAATTTCTCTAGGTATTTTTTGGGCAGACTAGTTCCCATTATTAAAACCCTCCTGGTGAGCCAGCTGGTGGTATGCTGGTTAAGGCAGCTGGATTCCACGATTAACTACGTGGGTCTAGCCCTGGACCCAGCAGCTTGTGAACTTAACGGGGTGCATGCCCAAAATGCTGAGAGGAGAATAGAGAAGGGACTGTGGCGTGGCCATCCCCTGGGGGGTGCTTTTCCTCTCCCTCTCTCTCTCTCAAGCATATCCACTCTACAGCAAATTAAGCAAAGAAAGAAAGAAAAAACCTCTCCTATTATTCAAATGCTTTAGGTAACAGGTTCACTTGCTACATTTTGTGAAAACCCTGGTCTTTCACAAAATTTCTCTTTCATCCACTGATGACACTTGTCTTTCTGCCTTTTTTTCATTGTTGTTGTTGTTTGGTGTCTTTTACTTTGTCCTACCTGTTTAATGGATCCAAACAGAAAACATGGGCCAGCAGGTTATCATAGTGGTTGTGGTGCTGGAATCCCACATGGCTGACCATGGTTTGAGTCTTGGACCTGGTGGCTTGCCTTCTCACTTTCTGCCTCTGATGAGCACACATATCCTATAGCAAATTTAAAAATAGTAATAAATAAAATTAATTATTTTTTGGAACCAGCAGTTAGCGTAATGGCTTTGTTGCTGGACTCCCACGTAGTTGACCGCAGTTCGCGTCCTGGACATGGCTTAGAACTCACGCCAGGCGCATGTGCGTGTGTGCCCAAGATCCCGAGAGGAGAATGGAGAAGGGATTGCGGCATAGCCATACCCCCTGGGGGGTGATTTCTCGCTTTCTGTCTGTCTGTCTGGCGACCACACGTGCCCTATAGCGAAAACCTCTCAAAAAAATTATTTTTTTTAAAAAAAGAAGAAGAAACCCATAAAACAAAGTTGTGTGCTCCCTTTAATTGAAAATCTTGGGACCAGCAGATCGCTGGATTCCCACATAGTCAACCATGGTTCAAGTTGCAGACCCAGCAACTTAAAATTCACGCTGGGTGCATGTGCGTGCATGCTCAAAACCCAGAGGGGAGAATGGAGGAGAAAGGAATGCAGTGTGCTTATCCCCTTGGGGGGTGATTTCTTGCTGTCTGTCTCTCCAGTGAGTGCATGTGCCCTATAGCAAAAATCTCTTTAAAAATCTTCATTTTCCCAATGAAAATTCTGATACTGAAAAATTGCCTATCAGGATTATACATCAGTGCAGAGAACTGTCTCTTTCTTGTGCTCTTACAATGTAAATTTTTATCTGTATATTTATAAATGGATTGCATTGGTTTATTTCTTCTGAAACTAGTGAGATTCAGTACTTAAAACGTTTGTTGGCTACTTGTTGCTTCTTCCTATCTTTTATTCATAGGAAAGGGAAGAAATGTTATTTTCTAAGTGATTTGTAGGAGCACTTTTGTTTAAATCTCTAAAAAAAATTCTTTAGAGACTGGCAAATAGCATAATGGTTCTGTCACTGGACTTCCATGTAGTTGACTGTGGTTCGGGTCCTGGACCTGGCAGCTTCAAATTTATGCCGGGCGCATGTGCATGCATACCCAAGATTTCGAAGGAAGAATGGAGAAGGGATTGTGTGGCCATCCCACCTAGGGGGGATGATTTCTCACTTTCTATCTCTCCATCAAGCACACATGCCCTATAGCAAAAATCTCCAAAAAAATAAAGTTATTTATGATAGAGCATGTATGTACACACATGAATAGGGAAGGGGAGAGAGACAGTGAAACACCCTCTACAGAGTCTGGTCATGTCACGATCACCTTCCTCCAGTTTTCCAGCCTATCCAATTTTGTCCATTCATGTGCACACCTGGCCCATTTCATGCTGACTGGAATGGGAATTTGAACTGTGGTCACCATATCCAGGTTCTCTCAAGTAGTGCATTACTGTTGCTCAATGAAGATGGCCATTAGGGGGGACCAGCAGTTAGTATAATGGCTATGTCACTAGACTCCCATGTAGTCAACCACGGTTCACGTCCCAGACCCGGTGGCTTAAAAAACTCACGCTGGACACGTGTGCGTGTGTGCCCAAGATCCCGATAGGAGAATGGAGGAGAAGGGATTGCGGTGTGGCCATACCCCCGGGGGTGTGACTTATCACTTTCTGTCTCTCTGTCTCTCTCTGTCTATCTGGCAAGTGCATGCACCCTATAGCAAAAAAACCTCTCCCCCCCCAAAAAAAATGGCCCTGTTAGGAGCCTTTTCATATTATGTGCTCATAGGTTATATAGTTGCAGTCATTTTCTTTATTTTTGAGACTTAATAAACCATTTAAACCTTATTTATACTATCTGACCATATAAAAGCTTTATTATGCCGTTTAAGCTATGAACCCATGTGTGTACAAAGGAGAGGTTTTGAATCTCAGTTCATGTTTAGAAAGGTTCCATGGTTATAGTGTTAGTGTCCTGTAATACTGTTTCTTCCACATTTAGATAAACTACTTGCAAGTGACTTTCACGTATAGAATGAGGGCATTATTTTTGTACAGAGCTGAATAAATTTTCCCAATACTATTAAACCACTGATACAAAGTGTTTTTATTGGTATTTTCTTTTATGTGTATATCTGTATGAATGTATATGTGTGTATGCATGCACATTTCAAATCTTGAAATGTATTTTTTTATGTACAAATAATCTAGATTAATTTGAGAGTTACTGACATACCAAGTCTTTCCATACAGGCTAAAAATGTCCATTTATTTCAGGACTTCCTTTTTCCACCCTCCACTAAGCTTATTATTCTTTTTGTATTAATATTCATATATGATGCAGTTATTACATTGATCATATACTCAAAAACTTCAGGACTTAGGAAGTAATATAGAGTGAAACAGGCAGGATGTAAGGAAATACAGAGTGGTTTGAACTTTAGAGGACTAGAAAACATGCCCTTCTAAAGGTATTTTTTATTGATTTTACACTTGAGGCATACAAATTAGACATGTTTGTAAACAGCCAGTTTATGAGTATTGGCCTATAACTTGGTTTCTTGTCTCTTCCAGAAGTTTTGGAATTTTTGCAAATTTAAAACTTAAAATTTAAATGACATTTGTTTGATATACTTCATCTGGAACTAGGAAAAGGAATCAAACTCACACATTTTCTATTCTCCATTGGTTACTGATCTTTTCAAGTCTTTGTCTTGATGCTTAAAATTTATATTTTGACTTTGTGTGTACATGATTAATACTAATACTTCTTGGTAAAGTATCTTATTAAAAGCATTTTTTAAGTGGCTTCTTAGATCCTTTGAATATCTAATTTAGTTTTCTTATCAATAAAGCCATCTGTTTGTATATTCATGCTGAAATACTGGGTCAGAAGAGTCATGATGTATTCTGTTTTTCTATAGAAAAATGCAGCGTGACTTTTCTGATGACCCAATAGAAACCACAGTGTTTCTCTGTATCATCACAGAACTGAACATCAGCCCTTTTGTATCCTACACCCTCCTCACCCGCTTTTAGGACAATGACTTGTTCTTAATCAAAAAGTTTACACTCTTCTAGTCCTGACCAACTGTGGTCGACTACGTGGGAGTCCAGTGACATAGCCATTACGCTAACTGCTGGTTCTCTACAATGACTTGTTCTTAATCAAAAATGTTTACAATCTTCTAGTCCTGACTGCTGCTTCTTATTTCTCAGATGATCACAGCTGACATGACCAGTTCTTTGAATACCATGGTATCTTTTATTTTACCTTAATGCTTATTACTTTTTGCTAGGCACTCTGTTGAGCAATTCATGTGCATTATTTCTTTTAATTCTCCCATAATGTTTGAGGTAGTACCATCAGTATTCCCATGACATAAATAAGAAGTTGAATCTTACAAAGGACAAAATGCTCCGCTGGAGTATGAGTTCTTAATTCAAGATAAGAGCCCAGAGAATGAGATGGGTACTGACATAAGATAGGGCTTTGGGAGGTAATCTGAACAAGGTAGCGTGTGTGTGTGTGTGGGGGGGGATGTTTTAGGCTACTCTGAGGAATGTGTGGTTTAATCTAAGAAAAATAGGGTGCCATTGAGACATTTTAATAAGGGGAAAATTATATGGTCACATATTTTTAAAATACACTTAGTTGCAATATGGACAGCTGATACAGGCAATGGTGAATACAGGAAGACCAGTTAGGAAGCTATTCTCATATTCCATGTCAAACAGACAAATGTGTATTGGATAAGGATGATGAAATGGAAAGGGAATGGATTCAGATTCTAGACAGAATCTTCTAGGAGATGAAACTAACCACTCTTGGCAGTCAACTGGATGTGGAGGGAGAGAAAAGAGTCAAGAATGACTCCATAGTATGAATTCTTTCATGATGAGCAAGGTGTGCACGCTGCCTGAAAGATTTCCTGCAATCTTTACATTCATAAGGTCTCTCTCCAGTACGAATTCTCTGATGTAGTGTAAGAGACCCACCATAGCTAAAGGCTTTCCCACAAATATTACATTCATAAGGTTTTTCTCCAGTATGAATTCTCTGATGTTGAGCAAGGCCTGCATTCTGACTAAATGTTTTCCTACATTCCTTACACATGTAGGGTTTTTCTCCAGTATGACTTCTCTGATGTTGTGCAAGGGATGAACTATTGCTAAAGGCCTTACCACATTCAATACATTCATAAGGCTTCTCTCCAGTATGAACCCTCTGATGTTGATCAAGGTATGCAATCTGGCTGAAGGCTTTCCTGCATACTTTACATTCATAAGGTTTTTCTCCAGTATGAACTCTCTGATGTTGAGAAAGGTGTGCATATTGGCTGAAGGATTTTCTACATTCCTTACATTCATAGGGTCTCTCACCAGTATGAATTCTCTGATGTACAATTAGGTATCCACGATGGCTGAAGGCTTTTCCACAAACATTACATACATAAGGTTTCTCTCCTGTATGAATTCTCTGATGCTGAGCAAGAAATGAACCATTACTAAATGCCTTTCCACATTCAATACATTCAAAAGGTCTCTCTCCAGTGTGAACTCTCTGATGTTGAGTCAGATGTGCAATTTGGCTGAAGGCTTTTTTACACTCTTTGCACTGATAAGGTTTCTCTCCAGTATGAACTCTCTGATGTTGAGCAAGGTGGGCATTCTGGCTGAAGGCTTTTCTGCATTCTTTACATTCATAGGGCTTCTCCCCAGTATGTATTCTCTTATGTTGTGCAAGGTTTGCACTCTGGCTAAAGGTTTTCCCACATTCGACACATGCATAGGGTTTCTCACCAGTATGAATTCTCTGATGAAGAGTAAGAGATGAGCTCTGGTTGAAGACTTTTTCACATTCACTACATTTCAGAAGTTTCTTTTCTACATAGACTTTCTTATGTTTCATTCCAACAGATTTTTTCCGGTAACTTCTCTTTTGTGGCTCATACTTATTTTCTCTTTCTTTGGTGGGAAACCTCTGTTGTATATCCCGTATTGCATCCTGATGGACTATTTGCCAAGATTTACTATATTCTTTACTTTGATCTTCTGGTACGGTTTCTTTATGAGTGATGATCAATTGTCGAGAACGAACCTCTTGACTTCTCAACTGTTTTTTAAACCAGCCTTCACTTTCACAGCCTTTCCTTAAACTGGGGCAGTCAAGGCTATAACTAAGATGTTTTTTTCTCATTCTCACTAATTTGGATGGTTCTTCATAAATATCTTGCTTTGATGGAAATTCAATGCTTTTAAATATATATTCCCAATCTAAAAAATATCAAGAAAACAAGTATCTTTTGTACTTATCAATTAAAATAAAAGAAACTTCTAAAACACAAATAGGTGAAGGAAATATATAAAAAAGTTCAAGAATGAAACAGTTCTTCATGCAGTCTAAAAAGTATGAGATTATAAAGAATGAGAATTTAAGAAAGTTGATTATAGGGACCAGCAGTTAGTGTAATGGCTATGTCACTGAACTCCCATGTAGTCGACTGTGGCTCGGGTCCTGGACCTGGTGGCCTAAACTCACACCAGGCACATGTGTGTGCATGCCCAAGATCCCAAGAGGAGAATGGAAGAGAAGGGATTGCAGCGTGGCCATCCCCCCGGGGGGTGATTTCTGTCTTTCTGTCTCTGTCTTTCTGGCAAGCACACGCGCCCTATAGCAAAAACCTCTCCAAAAAATAAAAAAGAAAGTTGATTATAAAAATAAATAAATTACATATAGCTGGTAATTATAAGATAAAAATTGAAGTGCTCATCTAAAAATCACAATCATCACATTATGAGTAAGTTAATATAGTGTTCAAACACATTTCCTCTCTTGCCCCAGGATATCCCACATTCAAGCTAAGTTAATTATCCTTATAAGTCAACTTCATGTCAGTAAAGTAGGGAGAAAACCTCCATTAGATATCCATGCCCAAAGATGTACCAGTTAACCTTAGGATACACGTGAAACTCTATGCTTGTTTATGAAATTGCATGGTTAAATTTTTGCAGTTAAAATAAGGTCTTCCTGGAGCCGGGCGATAGCGTAGTGGTGGATTCCCACATTGCCGACAGTGGTTCAAGTCCTGGACCAGGTGGCTTGAAACACCCCAGGCATGTGTGAATGTGTGCCCAAGATCCCAGGAGGAAAATGGAAAAGGGATTGTGGTATGGCCATTCTCTTTGGGAAGTGATTTCTCACCTTCTCTTTCACTGTCTCTCTCTCTCTCTCTCCAGTGAGCACATATGCTCTAAGGCAAAACCTCTTTAAAGAAAAATAGGGTCAGGACCAGCAGTTAGTGTAATGGCTGTGTTACTGGACTCCCACGTGGTTGACCGCGGTTCGCATCCCGGACCCGGTGGCTTAAAACTCACGCCGGGTGCATGTGCATACGTGCCCAAGATCCCGAGAGGAGAATGGAGAAGGGATTGCGGCGTGACCATCCCCCCTAGGGAGTGATTTCTCGCTTTCTGTCTGTCTCTATCTGGCGAGCGCACGCGCCCTATAGCGAAAACCTCTCCAAAAAAAAAAAAAAAGAAAAATAGGGTCTTCCTGAATATCACTTTTTATTTTTTAATTTATTTTCCATGTGGCACATGTATTTATCAGAGACAGACAGAGAACAAGAGAGTGAGAGAGCATTTCCCATGAGGGATGGTTACATTGGAATTCCTTCTCCTCTGCTTCTTTCTCCTTTTAGGACTTTGGGGATGAATGTGTGTGTAGTTGATGTGTTTTTCAAGTTTCCAGGTCCAAGACTCAAACCTCACAGTCAGGCATGTTGGATGGAGCCATCTTAATCACCATGCCACTGGCTGGCCCCTGACTATAATTTTTTGTGTGATAAATTTCAACCAAATATAAAATTTTCAATTTATCCCTGAACCTAAACTGCCTTCATATAAAAATAACTTTGTATTAAAACTGTAAACTATTAGAAAATGTAATTTTTTTCTTTTCTTTCTTTTTTTTTTTTTGAGAGGTTTTTGCTAAAGGG